TTTTTAAGATTTTTATTTAAATTTTACTAATGCCTTTAAATCCTAAGAAAAGTACATCGCAAATTTTCGAATCTTAGTTTGTTCCTATTCTCCATTCACAGCTGGGAAACTAGTTTTTGTCAACTCTGCTTTACAGTACCTAAGTCGAATAATAAACTTTAGTATTGAAATAAAATGAGTCCTAACTTGAACAAGAAACTACGAAACCTGTATGACAGTGTCGTGAAGAGGCATTCGTAATTAACGAAGTGAAAAGCGGTGTGCGTCAGTTTGATGCTATTATTACCCGAAGTGGCATTTACCCTAGAGATATTTCTAGACACAAGAGCTAGACGGGCTAGGAGAGTATTACGGGTGCATCGTTGCAGCTAGCTGGATTTAGGCCAGATTTGTGACATTTCAAAAACTATCTTCTGTCGCATCGTGCAATTGCTCTCCTGCTGCGCGCAGGAATTTTACACCAACAATTTTCCACATCAATTTATTCGCTACAATATTAGAAACGTTCAGGTGATGCGTTAAGTAGCTTAAAAAATACACCATGACTCATTTTAAGGGTGGAGAGGTGTATTGATTTAATGCTCCCCAATTTTAGGGTCAATACTTTGTCGAGCACCATGTAAGTTGCGTTTGTGTACAAGGAAATCACGATAAATATTTTCGACAAATGCGTTACAGGGCGTTGCCAAGCCCTCCTCGCAGGGGGGAGCTGTTACGGTTTGGGACTAATTTTTTTTTAAATAAATCGCAGAACAAGAACATTTTAAGAAAAAACATTTATTATTGACAGATCAATTTTAAATTGGCGTTTTAACCATTTTGATAAAGTATTTTTTAATTAAAATAAATAACTGGCTATTTTGTTTTATTTCAATGATGAATATATTTTAGTACGTTCAACTGCATTCTTTTACCCTTCAATTTGGGGTTTTTGTCAGCCCAGTTTCCTTTTCAAAAAGTTTTTACCCAGCCGGGGTTTGAACTCGTGTCTGTCGCTTGTCAAGCGAATGCAGGGTTCCCGTTTAAAATTGGTTAAATTGTCCTTAAATGTCATAAAATTCACATTTTGTCATTGAAACCATAAAATGTCATTATTTTTTAACAATTTTCTCACCTTTGCTCTTTTTTATAAACTGGAAATTTTTCAAAATAAAATTTAAGCCGGTCCTGTAGAATAAAACGCAATAAAATGTTTTAAATACGGCCATGTTTGACGTATGAACTTCAAACTATGAAGGAAGAAGAAGAAGATTTATTAAGTTAGGTTAGGAAATCAATTTTAAATTTCAAAATTTGAAATAAATAATGAGAATAGCAAAGTTATGTTTATACTATATTACTTTATAAAAGCGCAAACACAAAGAAGGACTTGAAGAAATTGTTAGTAGTTGGCAAGTAAGGAAGCAGAGTTAAAAATAGCAAGAAATATTATTTCTGAAGGAAATAAGAAATTATCGAAGTACCTAAAATAAGACTACTCCTAAAAAATCTGAAATATTGGAGGCTCAAACAATGATTAACATGGGTCTCAAGAAAGCAAAAAAAATAGTGGTTTTATTTATTTTGGGATTTAGTTTTATTTATTTTAGGATTATAATACCTATTATGGTAAGATACTAAAGTAACATACCTATATATTTTTTTTTTCATTAAGAATATTTATTTTGATGCGAGAATAGTATATTAAAGAACTAATGTCATAAGACGTCATTTTTATAATGGACGAGTGCGACAAAAGGTCTTATGACATGAGTTCTTTATGCTATTTTATCTATTTTGCAAAATTTTTATAAAAAAAAAATAATTTTTTACCTTAAATTTAATTTGGTCGAATTTTACTTTAGATAGTTGGTATCACAGTCATTGGTTTGTCAGTTAATGTCAAAATCGATTCGCCATGCCTTCCTTAATTTACTTATTTACAATAACTGTTAAAAAATTACATATTTTTTATTAAAATAACTTTATAAATAATAAATTCTTGTCATAAAATCATAAAAAAGTACAAAACAATGCTAGGAACCCTGCGAATGTCTAAACCCTCCATCACTGCTACTTTTATAAAAATCAGTTAAATTTGTCTATAAATAATGTTAATATTTTGTGTTGCTATTTTGACCTAAATTTTTTGCTTCTTTGATTGTTTTTATGGACCATTTAACCATGGAGCCTATAGGCTTAAAGAATTAAAAACGATTAAAGAATTTAGTGACTTTTTACTCTCAGAAACAGTCAAAGATGGTGACTTATCTTAAATTAGTCAAACTTTAACTAATTTAAGTGGTAAAAAATAACTATTTAAGAGTAAAAACGACTATTTTATTTGTAAACAATGCTCGTACTATCAAATAGTAGAATTTTAAGAGAGTTGGCTAAATTTTAGGTGGCATTTCCGACACTGCAAATTACCCATTTAACCCAAAATTTTTATCCTCTATCTATTATCTTGCCCCCTTCCCTGACCCATTGCCCATAGTTAGAGTATTCATGTACTCTCTTAAAATGAATTAGTCAAAAATAACTAATTATAAGTCATATTTGACTAATTGTCATAGCGAAAAAGAACTAATAATTATAATTAGTCAAATTTCACTGAATAAAATAATCAAATTAGTAGATTTAAATTTAAAAAAAAGTTTTGACCGAGCCGGGAATTGAACTCAGGTTGTCACTTGTCAAGCTGTTGTCTTAACCCATTCGGCTGTCAGCCGCTCTTATAAAAATCAATTTTATTTGTCAATAAAAACTGTTTATAATATTTTAAAGTTAAATATATTATTTGTGTTGCTGTTTTGAGCTAAACTTTTTGCATTTTTATTTGTTTTTATGGGTCACTTAACCATGGAGCTTAGGTATATGCATTTAATTCAAATAATACTTTGTTGTTGGCCGCAAACGATTAAAGAAGTTAGTTACTTTTAACTCTCAGAAATAGTCAAATCTTAAATAAGTCAAACTTTAACTATTTACATAGTAAAAAATAACTATTTAAAAGTGAAAACGACTATTTTATTAGTAAAAAATGCTGGTACTAATTCAAATAATATTTTGACTATTTAGAGAGTTAATGCTCAAAAAACATGCTATAATGTATTGATAAACAAATATTCTAATAATAAGGAAAATTACATGTATGATAAATACAATTTTTGACCATTAGAGATATTTTGCTGTAAATAAACGTATAGTAGACACTTCGTTAAGAAACAAATAAATTGTCTATGGAGTATATGCGTACGATACCCTTAAGTTCGTTGCACCTTCCGAAGAGTACCATTCAAATTAAAATTGTGATTAAGTCGGGACACACGTTGTTTAGCTTGCATGTAAAAGTGTTTAATGGAATGGCGTTTGTGTAGGATGAACGAAGTATAAGAAATCGCACATTTGCTACAAGCTATGAACATTCCACAATGCTCCACAGCAAGGTCAAAAACAATACCAAAAATGCATTAAAAATTATATTTTTCGATTAGATTTGTTAAATAAAAAAATAATAGTTAACCTGGGAAACAAAAGTGCGAAATCACTTGCAGGCGATAAAAAAATTACTACGAATCCATATAAAGAAGCTTTCATTGAACAAAGAGGGCTGCATAAATCCGTTACTGCTTTGTTAGTTTTAACGTAAATTAAAATATTTTAAAAGTTTACAATGAGGGTACCAAATATTTCCCCTTAATAAAAATCAGGATGTAAAGCATCCTCAATCAACAAACTAACGTTAAATAAGGATGGTAATATTTAAACAAATTTGATTATTTTTATTTATCTCCTGCATTGCTAATTGCAACTTGATTGAGGTCGAGTAGTTAATTAATATAATTATCGAAATGTATCATCAAATGAACCGAACACAATTTTATTAATTTCAATAATCATTTTGTTTCCAAAAGCAATAAATCTCTTACCGTTCCGTTGAACGATATGGTCTGATCGAAATGAATATTGATGTGCTCTGTAATTTGGCCGAAGCGATGGTTTATCTGTTGAAAAGTTTATCTATTTTTGTATTGTAAGAAAATAAATACTTCAATAATAATATAATAATGCAAAAATATATTTTTCTTTAATTGACCGATAGCTTTTATGGAGACATTTAAAAATCCACAATCAGATTTTGTTCTTTGTTCGATTTCTTAAATAAGCACCATGCGTTTCATTTTAAAAGTGGTTCATAATAAATCCCGACCTTACCTGGTCCGATGCTATTCCATTCTTGCGATCCAAGGTTATCCTCCTGTATACCTGCCCACCGCCGTTTATTTGTTATTTATAAGACCAAAGCAACTTTCTGCAAAACGAACGAAAATAAAGAACTGCACCAAGGATCGGGCATTGGTATTAATTTAAATCAGGTTATGCATACAAATTATATACTAAAATAAGTGCCAATAATTGATTGTTGAGCGTTTCTGTAAAAGTTCAAGTTGACCACAATGTTGCAGTTGATGAAAACAAAGGATATTGTGGCGAGCTTGAGCGTTGTTGTGAATGACCGGACCCGTAGTATATGTTAATTAAAAAATCAAGTGAAGGTTGTGGGACGCACGGATGGTGCAGAAGCGACAGCGCGGGCTTTCGCACGCAGTCTGGCTTTTAAGTAGCGCGCGCGCTATACCAAATGCTGTTCAATACCTGTTAATTTGCCTTGCTAGATATTTTGTGCATTAATAAAATGAAAAACATTTTATTTGGATCCGATGTCCTAGTAGGAATTTCACCTTGGTATGTCGCAGATTCTGTGTGCGCGTATGTAGATAGAATGTTACCTGCGCGGCCGCAGTGGCAGGGTGAAGGGCGTTTTCTTCGCTAGCTGTCTGGCGGTTGTTGTTGCGGTTGTTGATTCTCAGACATGCCGATACCTCGATCATATTAATTATACCTTAAACAAAACCACAAAGCCGATTTTATCTTTCAAGTTAACGCGACCGCTTATTCCCATACCAGCAGACTGACTCGAGGGAACTGAACTAAAGTTGTTTTATTTTTTGTTGCAGGTTGCAAAATAAAAGCTCTCCGCGCCAAGACAAACACTTACATTAAAACGCCCGTGCGAGGAGAAGAGCCCGTGTTCGTTGTTACTGGTCGCAAAGAAGATGTGGCCAAAGCCAAAAGAGAAATCCTATCGGCAGCTGAGCATTTCTCTCAAATCAGAGCTTCCCGTAAAAATAACTTGGCCGGTTTGGGATCGGGAGCAAGTACTCCTCCCGGCCCGCCAGCCAACATCCCTGGACACATCACCATTCAAGTCAGGGTACCATATCGTGTGGTCGGTCTAGTCGTTGGACCGAAAGGCGCTACCATTAAACGCATCCAACATCAAACTCATACCTACATCGTAACTCCTAGTCGTGACAAGGAACCAGTATTCGAAGTTACCGGATTGCCAGAAAGCGTAGAGACCGCTCGCAGAGAAATTGAGGCTCACATTGCCATGAGAACAGGAAACGGAACCTCAATCAACGGATTGACCGGTCTGACGGGAATTGACGAGAACGAAATCATTGCTTCTCTATACAAAAGTGGTCTAAATTCCATTTTAAACTACATGGAACCCACCAATGATACATTTCCCAACATGACTTCGTCGACCGGCAGCAGCGGAGCCTTCTCCAGCTCAAGTTCCACCTCGAGCACCTCGAGCACCGGAGGCAGAGATTTAGGCGCCATCTGGAGCTCCAGCGATCGCGACGAAGGTCTGGGAGACTCTCCCAGCTTCGACTCGTCCACCGCACTATCCAGCATCTGGTCTTATCCACCGGTGTCGGCTCCGTCGAGGCCGTCGCCAGCGAACAGCACCAGCCCGGCGGACTCCCTATTGAGCTCGGCCAAGTGCTTGGTTTGCTCCGATGCCAAGGTGACGCACGCTCTCGTGCCATGCGGCCACAATTTCTTTTGCGTGGATTGCGCGAACAGGGTTTGCGAGGGTAGCGAGGCGCAATGTCCCGTTTGCTCTCTGCCGGCCATTCAGGCCATCCGCATCTACTCGCAAAATCCTTAAACTGATAAAGCAGCGGCGGCGGCAGTATTACAGCAGCAGCATCATGGGCGGCCTTCTCTGGCTCGCTTTGTCAATCGATCTCGTTCGAATCCCGTCTCCCCCCTTTCCCCACATTCCCCGTTGGACCCCCCCGGTCCCGTGTTCAGCCTCGGATCGGCCGGTTAAGCGTTTTCGGACCTTCACATTCGCGAGCAGACATATCTCTCTCTATACACTTAAGATGATGATACAACGAAACTAAATTATTATAGTTTTGTTTTTAATAATGTATATTATTTACTTTTATTTTTTTGGTATTTTATTGTATTTGTTGAATTATTGAGAATGAGTATATTGTTTTTGTTTTATTTTTATATAAAAGTTTTATAATCGTTGTGTATAGAGAAGATGGGCGTGAAGGGTTGATTAAGCAGCGCCGTCCGACCGAAGCGTAGTCATCTTGTATGCCAGTTCAACTATTTCCTTAAATCTTATATCACTGATTTTTTTATAGTATAAGAGTCTGATTGGTGATTTTTTTTGCGTGTTTTTATGCACTCTTCGAGAGTACCACTCCTTTAAATAATTAATAAATAACTAGATACAAAAAGACATGACGCGACACTACGTAAAAATAATGTAAATTTTTATACTATTAATAAGTGTTTCGTTATTTTTTAAATATATTTTTTTAAGTTTCGCCATGTGAAGTTTCACATTATTAAAGTCTGAATCAGCAATTCTCAAAATATTATTTTAAGTAAATTTAAAGTATAAAAGAAAAATATAGCAAAAAAAAACGTAAAAATATGAATATATATGATAATGGAAGTGAGATGTAGATTGATAGATTATTTAACAGGGATACATTTTTTTAAAAAGAAAATAACCTAGATGATGGTTGTGCGCGCGGTGAGTTAACAATGCAACGAGAGCAAAGAGCGATCATACCATGCAGAATCATGATAAAATTAATTGGTAAAAGAGTGATACGTAAGTGGTGAGTAGAGGGCAGGGCTGTAATCTAAACTGGCACTATGCGCGTAGATGTTTGTTCCGGCGGCCATTGCACCCCCTAATAAACAAAATACATATCCCTTATTGTTAGTTGATCACTCATTGTTACTATTGTTCTGTTATGTCATGTGATATGATACATATAATTCTATATTATCCTTATATAACGTATGTATAAGTTGTGAAGAGAATTTATAAATGTAAAGTATAAATTATTTATAGTGCAAGCCGACGGCCGATGACAACGTCGCCTCACGTAGTTGCCAGTCATAATCAGTCCATACCGTCATGTCATGTCATTTCACGTCGGCCGGCGAACAGTCACCTCCACTTGAGAGATATTATTAAATTTACATCCATGTAATGTTTACTTAAATGTTATGTGGATAATTGCTCGGCCTCCCCTGCCGTCACTTGAACTGCCACTGCGTTACTCATAAAGGTATTAAAACATTTGGACCCTCGATAATGGAATGCCTTAAATTTTCCCGAGCGGTTTTTATATTTACATTAAACTAAAGTTTTATTAGCACAGACGCGCGCGGAATTGTGCTCAGTCACTGGCCAAGCCCGCCTGAGCTACTTATAAAACCTTATTAATATGTTTAGTTTAATATAAATTTAAAAATCTCTCGAGCAAACTTAACGTATACTCATTATTGATTGGTGCTAGATCCCTGGTCAGAATGTTTTAATGCAAACGGCAGTCGCTCTAGAAATTACGAGAGTCGTTAATAATTTTTCACGTGCATTTCAATGTTGTTTGATTTTCGATTAATTATGTATTATGTCTCCCTACTGCTGCACTATTCGTAGGAAATTCGGCGTATCGCATCGCTACAGTCTGTATTAGGGCCGCGTAGATTGGCTTTTAATGCGCTTATAGGTATATGACTTATTAATATATGTATTATTATTATTATTATATATTATAAATATTAGAAGGTATATTTTGTTTTTATTTATTTTTTTATTGTAGTATTTGAAAATTATCGTTATTAGGTAAATTTATATATATATATATTTTATTATTATGGTTCTTATAAAACTTATGCTTTGCCAATCTTCGCGGGCCCACCCAACCACCACCTCCTTGGTCGGTCCGAGTTGGCTCGGACCGGCGCCGACTTAGTTTGTTTATACGTACACTGTATATAAGTTGTTGTTTTATAGCTATTAATACCATATTATTATTATTATAATTATTATTTTATTTTTTTACATATTTTTGTGAAGATATTTAAATACGAATGTTAGTACAAGTACATGTCCACATGCTTGTGTGCAGAGTGACTGTTTCAAATAGTTTAATTAGATTTTTTGATTAGTTATATTTATATTGATATTTTAATTATATGAAGTATCCATAAAGTGATTTCTTTTTGTAATTTTTTATTGATTTTTGAATATTAAATGTATAAGTGTGTTTTCTATTTAGAAATTTATAAAATAGTACGAATTTTTTTATAGCGACTGACCTTACGCTTAAGAATCGTTTGCTTATTTGGTCGTCGTCTAACGGTAGGTCCAGGTTGAGGGTGGTATTTTTTATTTTTAATTTTCTATATTATTATTATTATTACTTATACAAGACTAAACCACCCGCAGTTCCTTCGACCGCCCTTAGAAAACTAGCAAATAATTATTTAGATATTCATTTTTATACATTAAATTGCTACCAAATATTAATAAAATTCGTGATTTATATTTTATTTTGTTTTTTTTTAGTTCATTCATTATTTTATTTATTTTTTGCCAGTGCTATAGACCTCACATTCCTGTATTTATATTGTATGTTTGAAGCATGTTTATGTGATGTTTTCATGTATATCAGTTCATTGAAAATGGCCAAGACTCGACATTTACAAATTTAACCACAAATGGGTTAGATTTACCAAATATTTGCTTTAATTTAAGATAAACTTCAAGGTAAGTCTATTCAAACAAAACTAATACCCAACTGAACGCCTAAATTTCAACCTTATATTACTTATACCAATGTTTGTGCGTCTATCCAGTTTTTAAATGAATATAAGAAGAAAATTAAAAAAAGTCATACTAAATTTTGGGTGCTTTTTGCATCATCATTTCTACCGTATTTTCATAAATCATTCGTTTTTAAAGAGTGGGAGCACTTATTTGTAATTGAGGGAATATCAACGCCAACAACGCTGCAGTGCCATGTATAAAATATAACTAGTCACTTTCAACAGTAAATTATTAATTTATTCAATTCTCTTGAAACCTTTGATATAGAATAACATAAATTTATCTGTAAACGCTAAACTCCGCGAAGTATAGCATGGCAAATTCAAAACGCAAATGATGCATGAAGCCTTAAAAATACGGTATACACTAATGCTTTCTAAAGAAATTATTGTTCATAGAAAGTAAACACCCTCCAGTGGGGTGTTTCTTGAAATTATCTTTACTTTCTACAGATAATAATATCCATAGAAAGCAATAAACCAAGCACTGCAAACTTCACCTAATGTGCTTTCATTGGTTTATTGCTTTCTATAGAAATCATTTCATTCAAAAATGTATTTATCGCACCAAAATTATTGGGTACAAAGTTTTCACTGACTGAATAATTTTTTGTGGAAAGTCTAATTGAGTCAAGTCATGGCAATTTCCAAAACTCATCTATATTATGCATGTTAGGGGTACTGTAGAGTCTAGGAATGGTTATGTACCAGGCACAATTTGAAATAACAAGTTTAATATTTTAATAAATATTTATTTTAGTACGCGTATAGCCGTAGCAATTGAATTCTAATAAAATGTAAGTGTAAAAATTATGAGATGCTCAATATTGTTCCAAATTTTGACATGAACGACGTTCGAAGTTTGATAGGTAAATTTGATAGGGAAATTGATGAAATGGACGATGCTCACCAGAAAATTTATAATAGTAAGGCAATAAGTTTAATATTAAAAAAAAGTTGTTAGGAAATGGTTTGAATCAATAAACGTCGTTCAAAAGGGCACGACTTTTAGAGAGGTGCTGAGCAACCGTTGGTTTTAATAAAAGTCTTCCTGCCCGTAATCATCTAAACTTTTTAACGGAAATTATAATTATATTTGAGTTATTTTAAAAGAATATAAAAGTAGTTTTGGGTAAAATTTAATATTTAGATAGACAATTGGCATATTCATCGCTGTATTTTGATGTGTTTTATGTGTACAATTAATAAACAGACCGTCAAAATTAGAATGGCTTTCGATTCAATTTTGATGGTATTGTGCCTGCAATAACATTAGGTATTTAGTCGGCATTTTCATTTTTTACCGCGAAATCGGTGTCAATACCACAGTATAGGAAAAAGCAACCTAAGCGGCTTGACTCTCCACGGTTGTAAAACGCGTGGTGTTCTTTCTTTAATGTATTTTCATTCGAATTCGCGGTTTCATCTTCAAGAAATTTGACTGCGACGCATACTTATATGCAAACAACTCTGTATATTAGCATATTTTTAAACTTAATATACAGGCCTAACTACGATATATAAATTATAATATCTATATCTCATATATAAATATATATTATATATGAAGTAATTTTGATATAGATTAAGAGAAAAACATAGATGTTTTTAGAAGAAATACTGTATTTATTGTATTATGAAATAAATAAAAATATTTATATTATTATTAAGATATATCCTTTGGTAGCCTCCTGTAAGAGACATTAGGTTTGGGGTCGCAGGTTTAACTGTCATTCTTAATTTTTTTTCGTAGATGGAAATTCAAAGGGTATTACTGTGCAATATTTAGACAAATAATTTGACCATTTACTTATTTTCACCAAAGTATTGATATTCCGTTAATTAAAATCGTTTATTTTATTTAAAGAAAACTCTGGTAGATACATCGTTTATTTTACAGCAAATCAATTAAATATTAATATGTTTGTCTTCTAATGGTAACCAAAAGCAATAAAAATACTATAACTTAGAATATAAAGTTAATCTATTTACCTATTTAAAATTTAATAATTATAGGGTAAGGTAGAATGTTACCGGCTTTTTATAAAAGTAGCGTATTTAATACAAAAAAAGTATTTTTGTTAAATATTTAAACTTACATAAGTAATTATTAAGTACGTATTATACTCTAGTTTGTACCGAAACTTTTAAAAAACAGTATTAAATCTACGACCCCGATTGTCGAATCGCTCAGCAACTTTAATAAATAATAATAATATTAAAACTATATTACTGACTTATATAAATATAGCTGCAAATGTTAAAGTATTTCTATTTAATAAAAAGTGTGCAAAATGTTTTAACGTACTATATGGTTAGACAATTTTATTATTTAAATTACGTTTAAAAAAAACTTTACGGATGGTGACTACTTATACATGTATTTACTAAAAATTATCCATCATTGATTGATGTAAATTTAAGCACAATTGGAAAAAATATATCTAACGATTGAGGCAGTGCTTTGCAAAAAATTCACTGCCTCAATTAACGATTTTAAGATTTTTTTGGTTAACAATTAATTTGTTTTAGCATCAAAAGTTTTAGATAGGTACCAAACTTTATAAGACATAAAAATAGCTCGTTTTTTTACATTAAAAATAAATAGGTAATCATTTTTGGAAATAAAATTGTATACAAAAACTTCTTTTGATGCTTTAACTTTTAATACGATTTCACAGGGTGTTCTTAAATGATGTGGTAATGTATGATTTAGAAAAAAGTTCATATTAACATGATTTAATAAGTCTTGCATTTCTCTATAAAATAATATAAAAAATAGTGGTGATAAAATAAAAACTTTTGTACTGTAACATTTTAGTGTCATAAAATTATCAATATTTAAAAAAATAATATTCAATGGCGAAAAAAATTAAAAAAAAAAGCAAAAGAAGAAGGCGATAGGAAACACAATTTTTTAACAATATTTTTTATATTATTTTACAAAAAGTTTTATATTTACGAACTTTTCTTGCTACTACTACTTTACATTAAGTAGGAACACCCTGTATAAAGATTTGTATTCGTTTGTAAGATATTTGTCAACTGTTTAGCAAGACTTTTAAACCCAAGTATACCCAATAAATGGGACCATTTAAAATAAAATAGTTCTCTGACTTATAAGAACACCAAACATACGTAAACGATTTTGGCAAATATCATTACGAAATCCACCCCTTTTTATTTGAGATGGCTTACTTTTAATACATTTTAAAATCATCAAATGTTAATTAATTAAAATCGTTATTAAAATTAAGTCTTCGAACATGAAAAAAAGAGACATTCCCAGGCACGACCGAACATGAGGTCAGCGGTTAATGTGAAACCTAGCACAATAATTTCATCATATCAAAGCTTTTCTGTGATTCGAAAGACTGAATTAAATGTTATTTCGGGATAGAAAATTAAATATAAAGTTTTATTTACTAACCCCTTTAGTTTGTTTTCAGTGCCACCAACCGTAAAGTCTAACAAAAAAAAAGACAAAAAAAATTATGTGACGTGAAAATATTTTTTCAATTTACCAAAATACATAAAAAAATATTTAGATACGATTTCTATCACGATATATTAATAATTACATAATTAACTTAAATTTCAAATTTGTAGCCAAATC